TGTGTCCCCCAGGCGTTCCTGGGCCCCGAGAACCCCGAGGAGCCGTACCTGGACGGGATCAATTACAACTGCGTGGCCCCCGGGAAGCGTTTCCGCCCCATGGACAACCTGTCCGGGGGGGAGAAAACCGTGGCTGCCCTGGCCCTGCTCTTCGCCATCCACAGGTGGGACCCCAAAACCCCCTGGGAGACCCCAAAACCCCTGGGGAGACCCCAAAAACCCCTGGGGGACCCCAAAACCCCCGGGGGGACCCCAAAACCCCCGGGGGAGACCCCAAAAACCCCTAAGGAAACACCAAACCCCCCAGGGATCCCCCCAAACCCTCCCCGGCCGCTCTCGCCCTGCTCAGCACCACCCACGGCTGGGACCCCAAAACTCCCCCCAGCCCCCGGGGTGGCTCCTCTGGGGGTCCCTGGCAGGGCTGGGGGTGCCCTGGGAGGGACTGGGACCCTCGGGGTGCCCCAGTTTTGGGGTCTCAGCCCAGTTTGGCCCCCCCCAGTTACAAACCGGCCCCGTTCTTCGTGCTGGACGAGATCGACGCCGCGCTGGACAACACCAACATCGGCAAGGTGGGGATTTGGGGGGCCCCTCCCCGCCTCGGGGGACCCCTCCCCACCTCGGGGCTCTCCCCATACGGTTTTGGGGTCTGGGGGTGTCACCCCAGCCCCATTTCCATCATTTTCCTGCCCCGGGATGGGATTTGTTCCCCCTCACCCCCCCATTTCTGGGGATCCCCACCCCATTTCGGGGGTGCCAGCTCTGTTTTTTGGGGTGCCAAGCCGGGTTTTGGGGTCCCCAGGTGGCCAATTACATCAAGGAGCAGTCGGCCGCCAACTTCCAGGCCATCGTCATCTCCCTCAAGGAGGAATTCTACACCAAGGCCCAGAGCCTGATCGGCGTCTACCCAGAGGTACCAAAACTGCCCCAAAACGGCCTGAAACACCCCAAAACACCCCAGAAATACCCCAAAATCACCCCAGAAATACCCCAAAACACCCCAGAAACACTCCAAAATACCCAAAACCATCCCAAAATGCCCCAAACCACCCCAAAATACAAAAAAACCCTCAAATACCCCAAAACACCAAAAAAAAATACTTCAAATGCTCCCCAAATACCAAAAAAAAGTCCCCCAAAAAAATCTAATTTCCCCAAAATACCCTCAAATACCCTAAAATCATAAAAAAAAATTACCCCAAATGCCTCAAGTACCCCCAAATAACCCCAAAACACCCTGAAATATCCCTCAAATCCCTCAAATCCCTCAAAACAGCCCCAAAATTCCTTCAATATCCCAAAAACCCAAAAATATCCCCCAAAACCACCACCAAAAACACCTCAAATACCCCAAAAACCCCAGGGGGTGCAAATACCCCAAAATCGAGGGGCTCAAGGGGGGTGGGGGCATCAATCCCCTGGGGGGGGCTCAAAACCCCAAAATGGGGGGTTCTGCTGGGGAGTTTTGGGGGGGATTTTGGGGAAATTTGGGTTTTTTGGGGGAATTTGGGATTTTGGGGGTGCAGAGCCGGGGGGGTCCGGCTGTGACCCCTCCCCAATCCAGAGGTTTTTGGGGGGATTTTGGGGGTTTTTGGGGGGATTTTGGGGGTGCAGAGCCGAGGGGGGGTCCGGCTGTGACCCCTCCCCAATCCGGGGGTTTTTGG